CGTTTGTTGGGGAACCAACGGAGCAAAAAGACGCACGTATCCGGCCCCTGGGGCGGGAATGGCGTAGCAAGCCGACATACCTAAATCCTCGTGCTACTGGCCGTAGCGAGTACACGGGAGGAAACCGGTACAACACGGAGGCTATAAAATCTAGCGAACGTGTTAGGTGTCGCCCAGCCCGCAGCTCTACAGATGTCTGTCAGCGAGGCGCCTTGAGCCAAAGCCCAGGAAGCGGCAACACCTCTAGTAGAGTGAGCGCGCAACCTGGGAGGACAAGGCTCACCTAGAGACTCATATGCTCTGGTGATAGTATCCACTAGCCAGTGGGCTAACCTCTGCTTGGAGACGGCCTTCCCCTTCTGCTGGCCTCCGTAACAGACAAAGAGCTGATCTGAGGTTCTGAAGCTTTGCGTTCTGTCGACATAAACCCGCAGAGCGCGGACGGGACAGAGAAAAGCTAGGGCTGGGTCTGCCTCCTCCAGGGGCAGCGCTTGCAGGTTCACTATCTGGTCCGCGAAGGGAGTGGTAGGAACCTTGGGCACATATCCAAGCCGGGGTCTCAAAACAACGTGAGACAAAGCCGGCCCGAACTCCAGGCACGATTCGTCGACCGAAAAAGCTTGCAGATCCCCGACCCTCTTGAAAGAAGCCAATGCTAACAGGAGCGCTGTCTTAATGGACAGGATATTCAGCTCTACTGTCGACAGGGGCTCAAAGGGAGGACTCTGAAGAGCTCTAAGTACCAGAGCTAGGTCCCAAGAGGGTACAGGGTGCAAAACACGAGGTGGATTCAACCTCCTAGCACCCTTAAGGAATCTAATGATCAGGTCGTGCTTTCCCAAAGACTTACCTTCTACTGCATCGTGATGTGCGGCTACTGCGGCGACATACACTTTGAGGGTGGAGGGAGACAGCCTTCGCTCCAACCCATCTTGCAGGAAGGAAAGCACGACTCCGACCGAGCAAGTTCGGGGGTCCTCCTGACGGGAGGAGCACCATTCGACGAACAGGTTCCACTTCAACGCATAGAGGCGCCTCGTAGAGGGGGCTCTAGCGGAAGTGATGGTGTCTACCACTGCCTGTGGTAGCCCACCTAGAACCTCCGCATCCCGTCCAGGGACCAGACATGGAGTCTCCAGAGGTCTGGACGCGGGTGCCAAAGAGTGCCCCGTCTCTGAGAAAGCAGGTCCTTCCTCAGAGGAATGGGCCAAGGAGGTGCTGTCGCGAGGAGCATAAGTTCTGGGAACCAGGTCCGGTTGGGCCAATACGGCGCAACTAGCAAGACCTGCTCCTCGTCCTCCCTGACTTTGCACAGAGTCTGTGCGAGAAGGCTCACTGGGGGAAACGCATATTTGCGAAGGCCCCGGGGCCAGCTGTGCGCCAGCGCATCTGTACCGAGAGACCCTTCGGTCAGAGAATAAAACCACTGGCAATGGGTCGTGTCCGGAGAGGCAAACAGATCTATCTGAGCGGCTCCGAAGATTCCCCAAATCAGCTGGACCGCCTGGGGATGGAGTCGCCATTCTCCCGGAAGAGGCGGCTGCCGTGAGAGCTCGTCGGCTGCACGGTTGAGCACACCCGGGATGTGAATGGCCCGAAGCGACCTCAGATGCTTCTGACTCCATAGGAGGAGATGGCGGGCGAGTCGCGACATACGACGGGAGCGTAGACCACCTTGATGGTTGATGTACGCAACGGTCGCAGTGCTGTCCGTACGGACCAGTACATCTTTGTGCAGAAGGAGCCCCTTGAGGCGGCACAAAGCCAAGCGTACTGCTTGCAACTCTAGGCAGTTGATATGCCAATGCAGCTGAGGCCCCGTCCACAGACCTGAAACTGCATGCCCGTTGTACGTGGCCCCCCATCCGTTGGCAGAGGCATCTGTGAAAACCACAGCGTGCCTGGACACCTGGACTAAGGACACTCCGGCCCGTAGAAAGGCAGGGTCCGACCAAGGACCGAAGGTTTGGCGACAGTGCGGGGTAATGTTGACCCGGAACGTGCCGCTCTGCCACGCCCATCTCGGGACTCGATCGTGAAGCCAGCGCTGAAGCGGTCTCATATGCAACAGACCGAGCGGCGTTACCGCGGCTGCGGCTGCCATATGCCCCAGGAGCCTCTGAAATTGCTTCAGTGGAACCGCTGACCTGCCCTGAAAATACTTGAGGCAGTTGAGCACTGACTGGACGCGCTCCTCTGTGAGGCGCGCCGTCTGGCCGACCGAGTCCAGCTCCATGCCGAGATAAGAGATCCTCTGCGTGGGGCAGAGTTTGCTCTTGTCCCGGTTGACCTGAAGACCCAAACGGCTGAGGTGTTGGAGCACCATGTCCCTGTGTTCGCACAACATATCTCGCGAGTGAGCTATTATAAGCCAGTCGTCGAGATAGTTGAGAATGCGAACGCCATGTTCTCTCATGGGAACAATGGCCGCCTCCACGACTTTCGTGAAGACACGGGGCGACAGGGCCAGGCCGAAGGGTAGGACCTTGTACTGATATGCTCGACCCTCGAACGCAAACCGAAGAAAAGGTCTGTGTCGAGGAAGAATCGAGACATGAAAGTACGCGTCCTTCAGGTCGATCGCTGCAAACCAATCCTGGGGACGGATGCATTCGAAGATGCGCTTCTGCGTGAGCATCTTGAACGGGAGCTTGTGCAGGGCCCGATTCAAAACTCGCAGGTCCAGGATTGGCCGTAACCCCCCGGATTTCTTGGGTACGATGAAGTAAGGGCTGTAGAACCCAGACCTCATCTCGGCTGGAGGGACCGGCTCGATCGCGTCCTTCGCCAGCAGGGCGTCGATCTCTTCCCTCAAGACAGGGGCATCGACGCTCCGCACACGGGTGAAGTGGATGCCCCTGAACTTGGGAGGCCGGCGGGCAAACTGAATTGCATAGCCGAGCCGGATGGTACGGATGAGCCAGCGGGACGGCCTCGGAAGCGCTAGCCAGGCTTCGAGAGACCCTACCAACGAGCCCACCCGGACCACCGGCGTACCCCCGGAGGGGCAGCGGGGTGGAAGACAGGGACCGGACTCCGGAGGCATTGCTGCGGCCGAGAGAGGGGTCTGAGTGTGCGAAACAACACCAACCTGTCTCCACCGGGGGGCAGACAGCAGGGAAGGCCCGGAGGCGTTCGGCTGCTGGCTGACCCGAGGCGAAGGAAGGAGGGGAAACGAGGAACGAGGCCCGGGGGCGTCGAGTCCTGGTTTCCACACCTCCTTGCCCAGCCAGAGACGAGAGTGACGAGGCCGTAGCGGCGTCACTGACATCTGAGAGCTGGGGCGAGGGGAATGAGAGCGGCGAGGCAACGAGGCGGCGCACACTGTCATTCTCCTCTTGGACGGAGGAGACTGAACTTTGACTGCCAGTCTCGACCGTGAGTGACCCAGAGGAAGTAGAAATTGCTCTTTTATTGAAACTTTGGGTACCGCTGACCGGCTGGCCAGCGGCGGAACAAAAAGAAAAGGAAAACAAAGATTCTCCACCCGGCCCTCCACCGGGGGAAGGAGATGTGCAGGGGCACCCTCCCGAAGAGCAGCTCCGACGTCCTCTGAGTCGCCCGTCTCAGGGTCGCTTACCTCTCCTCTTACCGGGGGGCTTCGACGAACCCCGAGCGGGCTGGGCACCTCTCTTGCGGCCAGCACCCTGCTGCTTCGCTGGCTGCTGCTTGGGCTGAGCAGGGGCGGAGGTGGCGGCAGGAGGGCGCCCTCGGCGACGAGCAGCCGGAGGTGCAACCGCCGGGGACGGGGCAGCCACAGCCTGTCTCCGGGGCATGATGTGTTTAATCACCTCCGACTGCTTCTGGGCGGCGGAGAACTGTTGGGCGTAGCTCTCCACCGCATCGCCGAAGAGGCCACCCTGGGAAATGGGGGAGTTCAGGAGACCACTCTTGTCCGACTCCCTCATATCAGCCAGGGTGAGCCACAGGTGTCGCTCCTGGACCACAAGTGTGGACATCGCCCGACCCAGGGAACGTGCAGTGACTTTCGTCGCCCGTAGGGCGAGGTCCGTCGCCGTACGCAGCTCTTGGAGCACCCCCGGGTCGGTCCCACCCTCCTGCATGTCACAGAGCGCCTGGGCCTGGTGGACCTGAAGGAGCGCCATGGCATGCAGAGACGAAGCAGCTTCCCCACAGGCAGTGTAAGCCTTACCAGTCAGACTGGAAGAGAACCTACATGCCCGGGAGGGGAGCGAGGGGTTACCCCGCCAGGTGGACGCGGTCTTGGGACACAGCTGCATCGCCACAGACCGCTCCACTGGGGGGATGCCCTCGTATCCCTTCACTGCCCCGCCATCAAGAGTGGTGAGGGAGGAAGAGGGAGTCGACCTGTGTCGGGCCGCCAGAGGGGCCGTCCACGATCTCGTCACCTCTTCATGCACTTCCGGGAAGAAAGGAACCGGGGCGGGGCGCTGAAAACCAACACGAGCCGCCCCGAGAAACCAATCATCGAGCCGAGAAGGTTCGGGACACGGTGGAGGGTTCCACACGAGCCCGACCCTCTCGGCCGCCCGGGCGAGCATAAGGGTCATATCCGGGTCCGGCTCGGACAACACTACCACACCCGAAGGGGGCAGTGCAGCCGGGTCGTCATCCCCAGAAAATGACCGATCTCCCTCCGATGCAGCGATCGACATCTGGTCCTCCGGCGGAGCCCCGAAGGAAACGACCGGGACCACACGAGATGGCCCGGCGCGCTCCCCCTGAGGCTCCAATGGCAGCGATGCAGAGGAGTGGGAAGCCTGCGGGGGTCTTTCACCCGGCGGGTTATTCCTCACTGTCACCCTCAGACTACCAATGGGATTAGCCGAAGTAGCCTTCTTCTGGAGTGAACCAGAAGAAGAACTAGATCGGGGAATCTCCAAAGGGACTTCACCTCGTTGAAGGGTCCTCAGTCTCAGTCTAAGCACCGCGATGGTCATGCTCCCGCAGTGAGAACATGACTCATTCATGAACGCTGCCTCAGCGTGCGCGAGGCCCAAGCACGAGAGACAGCGATCATGACCATCAACCAGAGGCAGAAGTTGACCGCACCCAGAAACACACGGATGAAACGTCATCCTGAAAAGGACGCGATCTTCACCCGTGTTGCTCTTTCACAGAAAACACTCTCTTAATTGTGCTGAAGCACACAGGGATAACCGCGGCAACACAGCGGGGAAACTGCAAGCCCGCTGTGCGCACTCAACCGAATACCAGCTGTGACAACAGCTCTTTGAAAAAAGGCAGATCGCTTGAAGCAGCAGCTGGCACCCGGGAGATCGCGAAGATCGCTGAAGCGCCGTCACACCAACACAGAGAGGTCTTCAGAGAAACAGCAGACTCGTTGAGCGTGAAGACAAACACAATCTCGAAGCTCATCACTCAGAGGACACTACCGGTCGGCTCCGAAGGTAAAAGCATTTTGCCTATGCGCTCGCTTCCGCTTTATACCCGCACTGATAGGCGGGGCGCGGAATGCAAGTCCTGCATGCCAATGTTCATTGGCTCGTTTTAATTCACTCGAAGGCAATTGGTCTCCCTAGCGTGATCCCAATTCGTTGGAAACTCCTCCGACGAGACGTAGGAGTTCCCTAACGAAAGGGAACTGATTTTCTCCAGTCATTGTTAAAAAACAAGCTAACAAAACTTGCAAACTAGCGTTAGTGAATCGTTCTGCCACCACCTAAGCTCCGCCCACAAAAACGTCACATATTTTTACTAACTGAAAAGGGGTCTATTGATTAAATTTCTTGTTTTCTTGATTTACCGTGAGAATCCGAAATGGCTTTATTTGTAGTAACAGTATTACAGCATTTTCTCCTCAATTCAACATATTTTAAATTTAACTGCATGCCATTTAGTAACACAAATCATCATAGCAACCACAGAGCGAACACACAGAGTAATGTTAACATAACATTCAACACACTCAAATGTATTTTAGTATGATTGTTTTGACCAAGTAAAACAGTGCTGCATTAACCCACAATCTTAATTCGTCAAATAAAGTGACCTGTATGAGTTGTAATTCAGCATTACACATTATAAAATAATATGAATTTAAGTTATCAAAACTAACTATAAAATTTTACTTTTAAAATTTCAGCTTTAATTGAAATAGACATAAACAACATAACAAAAGAAGCAGCAGCAGCCCACTACAGTATATAAGCATAATACAAACTGCGATGTAAAATGTCCCGAGACTGGTCCTCTCTTACCCTTCATTGCCATCATTCCTTCCTATATCCTTCCGGAGCTCCTCCATGGGACTCGAGGCCAGTGTGTTGCGCAGGTCTCTCTCATTGGCATTCACTCCGGCCTCGTTCTGTTCTCGACCCTGCACTGCTTTATACCACAGTAACGTTAATAAAACTTGAAAACATTATCTTATCTATGAAATTGATTTCTGCCTGAGTCGCGTTGGATTGCTTTCAGGCTGTGGATGTGAAGACGACAACTCCCATGATTCCACATTCATTCATGGTGTCATCAAGTTACACCTTTGTTGTTGTTTTAAATAAGCGACCTCTAGCAGCGAAACATACTGTGCCTTTAAATTTAAATTATATATATTAAAATATTTATTTTATATATGATCTTTATATATAAATTAAATATTTTAATATATATAATTTTTATTTATTTATTTCAATATATATATATATATATATATATATATATACTGTACACATACATATTATATATGAAATAGACTGAAACAGATGCAGAGATGTTGCTTTAAGAATCTGCACAGACCACTGAAGGGAGTAAGTATGGTTAAGATGACCTCAGTGCAACTGCTGCCCATGTAAATGTTATTTGTTTGTGGAGGCCAGTGTGAGTAAATCTTGTAATGGTGATGTATGGTGCAGTTTATACAGAGGTCCTTGCCCAACACCTGAAGTGTGGGAGACCTAATTGCACACAGCCATAAATAACAACAACATGTGAACAGAGTCTGAGATGTTTCCTCAAGGTGCGAGGGTCCTCAATTATCCCATTAGCAGCTGTGAACATGGAGATGAGGCAGCTAATGTTGTATTTGGTTAAGTTAATGTCTGTCTACAACCTGCTAATACAGATCATTGTAAAACAACTGCTGTTTCCAAATGCATGTTTTATTTCAAAAGACAGAATATAGCTTAGCTGCTAGTCTAAGTATATGGTAGTGTACTTCAAAATACTGACAAAATCTACTTTTAGCAGATATTTTAAAATAAAATGTAACACTTTATTTATTGAGATGTAACAAATGATGTTATAAATAGAACTGTAAGATCTCTTTTACGAAATCTTAATATTGATGATAATAATAATAAAGGAAAAACAACAACAAAACTCCAGATATTTCAATTTTAAAATGTTTGATCTTTCCCTTACAGAAAAATGAAACCAAAACATTGATCATCCTGCACTACACATAATTTTGTCCAATCAAATGCTCTCTAGGATGAGAATGCCACGCCCCCTGGAACCACTTGCAACGAACTAATCATGGCTGTCTGTCACAGACTGTTTTATAGGAAATACATAAACAGACACACAAAAAGGAAAACTGTGTTTGTCATGAAAATTAATTTGGTCTCAATAAATTCGAGGATATATGCCTGAAAATTATTGAAGTACCAAAAAGATTTTGAGTCCTTTGTATATCAAGATCTAAAAGGGGAAAAAAACACTTAGTTATCAGTGTTTTTTCAATCCCACTTCTCATCAAAATTAAACTATTTTCTTCCTCTCTTTAAGAAAAAGTCTTAGATGTGACAAAGGCTACCTATGCCATAGAGCTAGAGCAGAGCAGACAAATAAAAGAGCAGAATGTGGTGAAAGCAAATAAGAGAGGAGGTGGAGCGGGAACAGTTTTACTGCTGCGTGTTTAATTGAAGTCATTGATGGGAGAGTGGCACGTTCCCTCGGGGTCGTGAGGAGAAAGGACAGCTCAAAGCGAGAGGAAGGGGCTGGACTGCTGTAAAACAGCTGCTTTTTCACAATGTCATCCATTTCCAGTAGAAAGTTATATTGTAGAGTCAAATTTTCATGGTAATAAAGGGGTCTGTTGGGCATTTTTCAGCCATGATGTCCAAGTAAACACCAGTTGATTTCAAAAGACAAGCAGATGTGCAGATAAACATACATACACCAGCACAAATGGTTAAAATCAACAGGAGATCGAGATTTTCCTTAAAACATTTTTTTATTTCAAATGGACCCTGGAAGGTTTTTTACCAAATCATGGAAAACAAGATACTTCTGCCAATCCAACACTTATCATAAATAGACTGAAACTGTTAAAATAAGTAAACATACCTCTTTTGAAGAAGAAGATGAATAAATGAGTGAAATAATGTGATAAATGGAAACTCTGGCAAGTTTGTAAGTTGTTGTTTATGTTGGATTTTTGTAGTTAAACATGTCATTTGGATTGAATGGAAGTAAATGTAATGTTTAAAACATGGCTGTCACTTTGAAGAAGTGCTGGTGGCACCGTTTGGTCATTTGTCCATTCAGTATGTGGGAAGAGTATCAGAATATAATGAATCACTGCACCTTAAATTACATTGTCTATGCAACATTGTGGTTTGCATTATTTACAGTCTCTGTAATGTCTTAACCATAACCTGCCTGATCATTAGTCTGCAGTCTTGTTAATCTTAGTCCATTGGACTTTCGCTGTCAAGAAATTTGACATTAGTAATTCAAGTGCTTGGCCTTCACATCAAGATTTAAATGAACTCCAGACTGTTGTGTCTGGAATCTCTTCAGTCCACTGAATGACCTTTCCCACAGAAAAATAGACATACAGTACATGGGTCCTGGAAACGTTTTTTTTATTTATTTTTTATCCTTGGCCCAGACCCAGACTTTCAATCTTAAAATATGAAAATCCATTATAAAAAAAAGTAAAAAAAATCAATCATTGTAAATTACTTCCACCTATTTATGAATGACAGTTAAGAGAATGTATAGAAGAAGAACAAATTTGCAAGGTAAATATCACTGTCAACTTATATGCAAAATGTGTGAAAATATGATTTTTGTGTGTATTTGGGATAAATAAAATGCTAGCTATGAAGCTTTAGTAAGACAAAAGAGTTGGGAATGTTTTTCAAATATTATTATTAAATTATTAATTATTATTAAAATGTTTAAAATGTAATTTATATCACTGTAATGAGCACCACTCAGTGTGGTTAAACAACATGAAAATCCAAAATACTTCATTTGAAATGCGGTGTAAATATTTAGGCTATATAAAACATTAATAAATAAAACAAATACATTTATTAAAAATTAAAAGATTTATTTAAAAATACCTAAATATTTACACCACATGTAAAATATACATAGAGACAATTCTCCTGTGATGTATGTCCACTGTTGGACATTTTTAGTGGACAAATGAAATAAACCTGTGAGAGTGTCAAAAGTGGATTTTAAGAGGGGTTTTTTTCCCCTCAGGTTCAAAAGTGCCCTACCAACATACCGTTTGTCGCTAATGTGTTAAATGTAAATTTATCCTGCATTTCAAACAAAGCTCTTCACTTTCCCTCCATTTTCAGACCCTAATGCTCTCCGACCTCAGACAGGGAGAGTGATTCTAAAGATGCATTACATTCATTCTCCTGACAGCAGGATGATTACAGTTTGTTTTCTTTATCTCACCTTTTTTTGTCATTTTAAGGTCTCTGTAAGTCCTGCTGTTTCGCCATTTTAAGGCCAAACTTTAATCTCTATATCTATGTTTTGTTCTGTCCCCTCCTGCTGGAGACTGAGCTGAGACAAAGCGTTATTTACACTAATGGCCCAATAGGCCTTTCACTGCAGAAACAAACAGCACTGGGGAAAGTGAATGGAACTTAACATTTTGACATTTTTCCACATGCTCTCAAAACCAATATTGACCTAGCTCCCCTGCAAGGTGGGCTTTAGTCCAAGGACTTGGCATTAAAATCAAACCTATGAATCTCGAGCAGCAGGCAGCAAGTCAAGGGGAGAGCCCAACAATGTCCAGCCCAGGATGGGGTTCTCCTGCTGGGAAGGCAGAGTGGACACTGTCCTGGGCTCAAGCTGGTACACAGAAACAGCCACAATGAAAGGCTTCGTGCCACCCCCCCAGTTTAATGATTCCGTCTGCGAAGGCCGATTGTAGCCGAACCGCAGACCCCGCTGGTGCCCGATGCAGACAACAGGAAAGGGACAGCGGGGGAACCCGTAAGTGTAGTACCACCCCGTAGCAGGGAGTGCTTCTCAAAGGCCACATTACAATCAATTAGGGCCCTAATGAGCAGGATTTGGACTTGTAACCTGTGGCTTAGAGTCAGTATTTAGCAGAATCTCAGCGGCACAGCTGGATAACGCATCAATACGCTCAGAAATAGCTTCGACTAGAAGAGTAACGCGGCGGGGA